ATTTGTTGTTTGTACCCATAGTATAGCCCAGAAACAATAATGCGCATTTTGTTTTTGTCCTTTTTTTAACCTAAAACACACTGACACTGACATTGACACCAACTTATACAGATACCATTTTTATTAATCCTGACCTTTGACCCTAACACCTTGACCTTTGACCCTGACCTTGACCCAAACACTAACCCTGGCACTGAACTTGATAAAACCTTGATCTAGTTATTTTTTCTTTATTTTTTCTTTTATTTTTAATATTTATTATTTTTTTTTTTTTTTTTACGAAAATTTTTTTTCCCTCTATGCCAGGAGTTAGAGAGATACAATGCATCTCTCTCCTCCATTCATAGAGAGAGAAAAAAACAAGGGGACCAGGCTGTACAGTGATTGATCACTGTGACAGCCAATCAGAGGCTATCACAAAAATCATGTGACCCAGAATCTGGAGTCCCGGGTCCTGATTGTTAGAACGGGACCCGGGGCTCTCAGTGACACCACGGTCTTTGTGCTGGGAGCGCGCCGTGTGGTGTGCTCCTAGCACAAAGACAGGTATGCAAATATGTGGCCCCACGGAAAAAAGCCGTTACGCCGGCGTCAAGGAGTTAAATTATTATTCCAATATCAGTGTTATTAGGACTTGTCCAATACAAAAAAGAGATGATGTGCATAGTGCATGCATTGTAATTCATAGTTACTAGTAAGATTTCAATTTACTCTGCGTTTTCCTATAGACTTCCATGAGGTCCTGCAGTTTTGGTGCATTTTCAGAAAGAACACCAAAACTATTGCATGCTGCATCTTTGGTGCGCCTTGTGAAACCGCACCAAAACCACAGGACATCATAGAAGTCTATGGGAAATCTAAGATAACCTGCACAAAAACCGCTTTTTAGCAGTGGGACCGTACCAAGGGAGTATAAAGCCGCCCTTATATTGCTGAGAGTTTTTTTTCTTACTGATTGTTTTCGGTTGCAGATTGCATTATTTAACAATCTACTTGGAGTTGAGTAAACTAAAAACTTTACTTAACTTGAGGGGTACTTGTTAGATTAAATATTCCTGGCTAAGGACTTGGCCAAGGCAGTCTATGTGACAGTGATCTAGAGCTGAGACGAAGATTAAGGCTGGCCATACACTATACAATTTTCTGTCCAATTTCTGCCCAATTTCCTTTAGATTTGCCATAAACTATGTAGTACAAGAGCCTGCCTAATTGGATACAATTGAAAGTGTTGTTAGGTTTGACCTCATATTATATGGTTTTTGGTAAATCTAAATCAAAAATCTCAAGAAAATTGTATAATGTATGGCCAGCCTAAGAGTGTCTTAGAAATTCTTTAACTTCTTGCATTAAGAGTGTAGAATTTACTTACTCATCCTTATTGATGTTGCCAGTTGCATTAGGGTCTAGAAGTTTGAAAGCACTGAGTATAGAGTCTTCAGGGTCCGTTCCTAAGAAACCAATGTTTAGGTCAAATTTACATTTTGAAGAGCAGATGTACTGTATGTCTGTACTTCATAAGCAAATGTATTCTGCAGGAGGGTAGGTAAGGTAGATAAAACTTTCATATTATCAGTTTTTGCTGCTAAAAGTGATAAAAGTGACTCTGCCGTGAGAAAAGTATAGGAGCTACCATTTCTGGTTCTCTTTTGAAATTTCTAGTTGTCTGGCTGTTTCTGGCTTTGGTACTTTTGAGTAACAAAACTGGAACAAGCATGCCATGAACGTGTCAGAAAAATGTCAGAAATCATTATCTGAAAACCAGCTCCTCCTCCTCTCTCTCCTGTCGGCTTTTGTCTGCTGCAGGGAGAGCCATATAGGTGATTGGTTCCTGTAATTGCTCCCCCCGCTGCATCAATCACCCCCTCCTGCAGAGGCGTCCCTAGGGTTGGTGTAACCCAGTGCGAGAACACTTGGTGACACCCCCTCCGACGATCCCCGCAGAATGGATTGGATCTGCAGATTGAGCATAATGGATCGGAGTCCGATCCATTATGCTCAATACGCAGATCCGATCCATCCTGCGGGGATTGTCCGCTTTCTTTATAACTTAAGTTTTCTTGGAGCGGGTCCAGTGTCACCCCGTATAGGTTGCATGCCGACGATTCCCCCAGGATGGTTCAGATCTGTGGATGATTGAGCATAATGGATCAGAGTACGATCCATTATGCTCCCCAATCCGCAGAGCCAATCCATCCTGCGGGGATCGTCAGCATGCAACCTATACGGGGTGACACCGGACCTGCTCCAAGAAAAGATAAGTTGTAAAGAAAGCCGACGATCCCCACAGGATGGATCCGATGGATCGTCGGCTTGCTTTACAACTTACCTTTTCGTGGAGCGGGTCCAGTGTCACCCCGTGTGGTCGGTGTTACCCGGTGCGGGCCGCACCCTACGCACCTGCCTTGGGATGCCACTGCCCTCCTGTACACTATCTGATTCCCTCTGTTCTCCGTGCTGTGTGCCAAAACCCCTCTTTGGGCTTTCTCTCCTCTCCCCCCCTCCTGCCAGCTTTCAGCTGCTGCACAGGGAGCCACAGGGGGATCACTTCCAGTATTTGGGACCCCATACTGTTCCAGTCACCATCCCTGTCAAAGATCTTCTTCCTCTTGCTGCCTGGTCCCCTGTGCGCCCATCACAGCGCTGCCAGCCTCTCTCTCCTCTCCCTCCTGCCAGTTGCTGTGGTCACACAGAAGGATCATTTCAGAATGGAGAGTGGTGGAAGGGGCCAGTAAATATGTAATTTACCAACTATTTCCTTCCGAATAACAAAGTTGCTAACAAAATCTGATGCAGTTGTGCATAGTAACCAATCAGCTTCTAGTTTTTATTGTCAAAGCGTAGTTTAAGAAGCTGAAGTTAGAAGCTGATCGGTTACAATGCACAGCTGCACCAGATTCTTTGTGCACCAGTTTTAATAAATATCCCCCAGTGAGTGATCGATACTGATCACTCATTGTGTTCATTCATAACTGAAGCATAATAAACTGTATTTACTATGATTCAGTTTAATAATAAACAGGGGCCAAGGTGCTTTCTCTTCATTCACTGTCCAGTGCAGCTGAGGCTGCAGAGAATGGGTTGAGAAATATATGTCCTCAGTCCCTTTCTCTGAAAAGTAAAACTTCATAGTTCAACCCCCCCAAAAAAAAAAATGTAAAAAGAAAAAATTGTAACAACTAATTAAAGATATACAGCATGAATAGGCAGTTTATTTGTGCAACTGGGGCCATCTGCAATTCGCAGGTGTGAGTGTAGCCCCGCATACACACTGTCTGTGTTCAGGGCTATACACTTATAGCCACACACCTGTCAAATTAGGCCCTGTGGCTGTGTTCATACAGCTGCTGTGGCCCCATAGCGTAACAGAACACAGCTCTAGCCACAAACAAAAAAGCTGAATCACACTGTACAGGCCACAGTACCCATTCCACACAGTTTTTTATATTAACTAAATACATTTTTATAATTTAGATTTAGCAGAAATGTTGTACAGTATATTTTACTTGTTTCTGTAAATAATCACTTTAGTGTATTTTTTATGAAAATATTATTTTGATGTTTTCGGGTGGGGGATGGGGGGGGGTGCTGTCATGTAGGCTTGCATGGGGCCCTGTGATTTCTAACAGCAGCCCTGATAACAGTGATGATAAACTAGCAAAAAATAGATTTTTTTTGTAGATGGTCATTAATGGCTTACCATTAAGCTTTTCTCCAAATAGAGTTAGGAATACAGTAAAGTTGATGGGTCCTTTTCCTTCCTTCAGCATTCCCTCCAACTCATCGTCATTCACATTCATCTTTCCTAAGAAAGAGAGAGGAGACACTAATAAACAGTATGAATGGGGTGGTAGAATAGTCAATCCAATTAACTGTCCTTTGGACAGTGCACAGAGTAAGGATCAGTTACCCCAATGCTATGGTTTACCAGTGATGAATAAGATATGTTTACTGTTAAACACAACAGTAGGGAGAGAGGTTTGGTGAGTAGATCCCTGGCAGCTATGTGTGTAGAGGTTTGGTCACTTAATTAAAGCAGAACTCTGGGCAAAAACTTCTTTACTTGTCCTTGTTGCTGATTTCCTACCTTCACTTAATATGTTATCCATCTTCTGGTTCATTCAGTAATTGTTCTCAAATAGCCTATTCATTTTCAAATCAAACCGTTAATTCTCTTTGGTTTCCTGTCTGTAAGACCAGTGGCTGCTATGCCTCCCATTCCCCCAGCCACTGGTCATGGCACGTCCCTTCTGTAGTTCTTTACCCAGGAAGCAGTCATGTAATTCAGCCCCACTTGTTGTGGCGGACAAACCAGGACTCTCAGACACATTCAACATATACAGGCCTAGTGTACCCACCCACATTCACTATAATTCCTTGTGGTTGATGGGAACTGTGGTTTCCTTTTACTACAGAGAGAGGAGAGGATATGATGTAATCCCCGCTGTTACACCTCCTCCTTGGAGGAACAAATGCTGTTATCTTTTGAATTACAGAGATGAGGTCAGGAAAATTCAATTAGACTTTTCTCCTCAATGGTAAGGATTTTCAAAATTTTATAAACTGTTTTGTGTAGGGGGGTATGCTAATGGATAATTTTTTTGCCTATCCCAGAGCTCTTCTTTAACCACCTGCCGCCCGCCATATAGTAATATGACGGGCACAAGGTGGTTCTCTCGTTCTGGGACGACGTCATATGACGTCGTCCCATTCTAACAGCGCATGCGTGGCTCCGGGAGCGTGCAGCGCGTTGATCGGCGGTGCGCTGTGTCCTCTCGGACACAAGGATCACCGATAAACGGAAAGAGCCGAAGATGTCGGCTCGGTCATGTGATCAGCTGTGTCCAATCACAGCTGATCACATGTAAATAGGGAAATGCCGGTTATCGGCATTTCTCTCCTCACGAGCTGTCATGCTGACAGCTCGAGAGGAGAGGAGAGACAGTAATCGGCATCCCTCAGAGGGGACATCTACACTGATCATCAGGGCACTGATGATCAGTGTGTCCTGATGATCAGTGTAGCCCCAGCAGTGCCACCTGTCAGTGTTCATCAGTGCCAGCTGTCAGTGCTCATCCATGCTACCTGCCAGTGCCCATCAGTGCCACATCAATGCCACATATCAGTGCCTACCAGTACACATCAATGCCCATCTGAGCTGCATTTCAGTGTCAACCATCAGTGCCAGTCAGTGCCACCTATCAATGCCAGTCAGTGCCACCTATCAGTGCTGCCAATCAGTGCCACCTATCAGTGTGCATCAGTGCAGCCTATCAGTGCCCGTCAGTGCTGCCTATCAGTGCCACCTAACAGTGCCAGTCAGTGCCACCTAACAGTGTCAGTCAGTGCCGCCTATCAGTGCCAGTCAGTGCCGCCTATCAGTGCCACCTATCAGTGCCGCCTATCAGTGCCAAATCAGTGCCATTCAGTGCCCATCAGTGATGCCTGTCAGTGCCCATCAGTGTCACCTACCAGTGCCTCCTCATCAGTGCCCATCAGTGTCACCTATCAGTGTCCATCAGTGCAGCCTATCAGTGCCCATCACTGCAGCCTCATTAGCGCACATCAGTGAAGGAGCAAAAATCACTTATTTCCAAAATTATATAACAAAAACTAAGTAAAAACTTTTTTTTTTTTTTAATTTTCAGTGGTTTTTGGTTTGTTTACGAAAAAAAAAAAAACCCAGAGGTAATTAAATACCACCAAAATAAAGCTCTATCTGTCTCAAAAAAATTATAAAAATTTCATATGGGTACAGTGTTGCATGACTGCGCAATTGTCATTCAAAGTGTGACAGCGCTGAAAGCTGAAAATTGGCCTGTGCAGGAAGGGGGTATAAGTGTCCGGTAGGCAAGTGGTTAACATTGGATACATTATGACCAATATTTTACACAGTTCTTATAAGTGCAGTAACTCACCCAGCTGCATATAGGTCTCTTTAAGGTCAGACTTGCTTATTATGCCATCACGATTTTGGTCTATACAGCTGAAGGCCTAGACATAATGAAAAAGCATGGATTTAGCATCAAGATTATTGATTACTGAACTGTATTGTTTACAGGTCACATTTACCAAATAAGCTATTATATTGGCAGTTGTCTCAGAACTAATTTAACCCCATGGTGATAATGCCCTATAAAAACAGGATACTTCTTTGTATTCCACCTAATATTTTTTTTGCTGCGCAAAGCTGTCCAACCCCTAGACTAGAGGACCATTGAGTTTTGTCTTGCTCATTGCCTTGTACCAGTGCAGAGTAGTTGAGCCTTACAGATTAACTTTGACAACTAGGTGATATCTTTGTGAATGGAAGCACTGTTATCCTAAAAAAGCTAATACATATCATATTACTCACCTCTTTATATTACATATATCTCACCTCTTTAAATTCTTGGATCTGTGACTGCTCAAACATTGAGAAGACATTGGAAGAACCTCGTTGGGCACGTTTTGCTGCACCTTTACCACGAGTCACTGCTTTTCGGCTGGCCTGGATAGTGTATGAAGAAATGTGTAAGACAAACCAAAGCTGAAATATTTTTTAATTCTGGATTTTATTAGGCTAAAAAAAAAAAAAATCAGTGGGCCACAATGCATTTGATTTGACACATTAGGACATACTGTAAGAGACAGGGCTAGAATATTATGACGGATGCATTAAAATGTACCTGCAGAACTGTCACTTAAAGAAGCTCCTGCTCCTTTTTTTTGGGTGACAAGTTTTGCTGAGCGCCATTCATGGCAAAATCGCACCGCACTTGAGGTGCCATTAAGAAAGAATGGCACCCAAACATTGCTTGGTGCGTTTTATCACAATTGTAGTGCTATTTGGAATTCAAAAATCGTGAAGTGTGAATGCAGTCTAAGGAAATATAATGCTTGTGTGTGTATATATATATATATATATATTTTTTTTTTTTTTTTTTTAAACAGGGCTTCACAAGCACAATTATGGTAAAAACATGCAATTCTAAAGAGCAGCATCTATACAAAGGGGTGTCTCTTTAATTCATCTGCAAAGTGTCTGCTATATTTGTTAATTGTTGGGCAGGACAGTGGCTAAATGGTTAGCACTTCTGCCTGGCAGTACTAGGGTCATTGGTTCAAATCCCAACCATGGCACCACCTGCCTGGAGTTTGCATGTTCTCCCTGTGCCTGTGTGGGTTTCCTCCGGGTACTCCGGTTTCCTCCCACACTCCAAAGACATGCTGATAGTATGTGTATGTATGAATGTACATTAGGGTCCTTAGATTGTACACCCCTTGAGGGTTAGGGACTGATGTGAATGTACAATATATATATATATATATATATATATATATATATATATATATATATGTGTGTGTGTGAAGTGCTGCATAAATTGACGGCGCTATATAAGTACCTGAAATAATAATAATAATAATTGTCTTTCAGAAGAGGACTGGATGAATCCCAAGACCAAGGTTCCATAGCCAAGGTATCTTAAAGAACAAAAATTCTAACCATTGATTGTTGTACCCTTCTTCCATGTGTACATAATACACCTGTAAAACTAGTTAAAGCAAATAACTATTTGATAGTTATTTTTTTCCTTGTTGCCTGATTTGTTCTTTTATATAACTTTTTGCCATAATACACAATGTATCCTATATTAAGTATAGTCATAACAAAGCATATATAGCAGAAAAACGCATTTAGAGTTTCAGTTACTGAGTAATGTGACTGATCTGCTCATAGGGCAAGCAATAGCTCAGCTTCCCATCGCCTTGGTAAAGGGTTATTAAACCCAAAACCAAAAAGTTTATATAATGCAGCTTAACAATCATTAGATGTGATGGCTGCATTAGTTGCATTAGTTTTTTTAGGCTTTTCCCTCTGTTCTCACCTGGTGATCTGGTCAGTTACACATCTCCTGAATTAGAGTACCTCCACTCTGGATGAATTGGAAATGGATTAATACCGGTTTAAATCAACATTTGGAAGAAACAGCAAGCTGGCCAGGCAGTGCAATAACGTTTGGCACTGGTAAGCCAGGCTAGTAATTTTGATGGCATTTTTTTGTCCTGGAAAGGTAAATTAGAAAACAGTGCTCTTACTTCTAGCCTCTACTTAACCATTATACCATTATGCTAACTTTATAGTAGACCTAGAATTTAAAACTAAAGGCTTCACAAAAAAAAAAGTGCTTTGGTCTTGTCTTCCAACTGCGTTCACCTCACTGCTGCCTCCTGGGCACTCGAAGTACCATGAGAATGCACCCCTAATCCCAAACCTAACTCCCAAAATTCTGGAGTTTACCTTTTTGGCATAGTAAGTATCTGCACTAACTCATTAACATTCTCTTGCCAAATGCAGCGGCACTGAACCTTCATCATTAAATTCATATTAGACCCTTCCTGCTTCTCCCTTAAAGTGGCATTCCAGTCATAACCTAACTAATATTAAACCTATTCCCACCCCCATTCTAAGACTATTCTATCTAACCCTGTAAAGAAAGATCCATATACTTACCTATTCTGAAGCCGCTCCGCTCCAGTCTCAATTGGCGGCTTCGTGAACAGGAGAGAAAGCCAACAACAGCTGAGAAATACCTGGGAGATTATGTCACCCATAGACTTACTATAGGTTATATTTGTCAGCTACCCCTCCTGCACAGAGAAGCCGCCGCTGACAGCCCAGCCTGGGACTAGACCAGAGTGGCTTCAGAATTGGCAAGTATACATATCTTTTCTTTACAGGGTTAGATAGAATTGGTTTAGAATGGTTTAGAATGGTGATGGGGGTAGGTTTAGTGTTAAGTTATGACTGTTCACTTTAGTACAAACCTGTGATGAGAAAAACTTGGGAAGATGCTTACAAATTACTGAAAATATTAGTTGCCTGGAAGAAATGCTGTTCCTTTAGTTTCAATATCTTCTGAGCCATTGGTCTAAAACATGCATCCTGCAAATTAAGTCAGCATTCCTGATCTGCTCGCTAATTCCAAGGTACTGACTTAGATCAGAATGACAGCCAGTCTGGTGTTGCATGATTTTGAGATAGACAGCAGACAGAGGAAGAATATACAGGGGCAGGGGCGGACTGACCATTCGCGCACTCGGGCATTGCCCGAGGGACCGGGGTCTGTAGGGGGCCCCATGAAATGCCCCTGGTACCTTTTTTGTAGGCTTTTTTGGGTGTGCTTTGAGTGTGGGCAAGGACACAGGGGCCCCATGATCCCCTATTCCCCGGGGGCCCCATGAGTTGTCAGTCCACCCCTGTACAGGGGTTGATTTATTAAAGGCAAATAGGCTGTTCACTTTGCAAGTGAATTTGCACCAGGACCTAGTGACTGAGGTGAAGCTCTGCTGACTTCCATCATCCAATAATGTGCAAAGAGAAATCCTATTTTTTTTTCTTGCATGTGACTGGGTATTCTTTTCAAAGTGAAACTTCTCCACAATTACTACGCTCTTGGGCAAGTTCCCCTGCAAAGTGCAACTTTACTTGCAAAGCGAACATCCAATTTGCCTTTAGTAAATCAACTCCTTGGTGTACAAATGACTGTATTCGCTGTGTATACTGTCACAGAAACTTCACTATTTAGCACTATTATCAGGGGCGGACTGACAACTCATGGGGCCCCCAGGCAATAGGGGATTATGGGGCCCCTGTGTCCTTGCCCAAACTCAAAAAAGCCTAAGAAAAAGGTACCAGGGGCATCTCATGGGGCCCCCTACTGACCCCGGGCCCTCGGGCAGTGCCCGTGTTTCCAAATGGTCAGTCCGCCCCTGACTATTATAAACTACACCATACCGTGAAATACTTCTGTACTTTGTACACATTGCCACTCTTTGTACTCCAATTCAGCCAACAGCTGAGCACAATTATATAGCTATAATTATAGAAGGAAAAACATTATAGAGGTGCAATTATTGTGTCAACCATATACTACCCTTGCCAGTAATAATTGGACAATGTAGGAGAAGAATAAGGAGCTCTAGAAAAAACATTTGGGAATTAGTTGTATGATCTTAAAAAAGTGACCACAAAGGGTCACAGCCTTTGTTTGCTATACAATTTCAAGTTTTAAAAATAAGGTTCTTCCATATATTTCAATGTGGCTGTTGATACTTTACCCTGAGTTCCCATTAATTGGTTTTCTGTGCTACTCTGGACCATCATATTGCTGTAGGAGTGCAGCTGCACAGGCAGCACAGTGGCTAAATGGTGAGCACTTCCGCGTGGCAGTACTAGAGTTGCTGATTCGAATCCCAACCCCGGCACCACCTGCCTGGAGTTTGCATGTTCTCCCTGTGACTGCGTGGGTTTCCTCCGAGTGCTCCGGTTTCATCCCACACTCCAAAGACATGCTGGTAGGTTAATTGGCTCCTGTCTAAATTGGCCCTAGTATGAATGTGAGTTAGGGACTTTAGATTGTATGCTCCTTGAGGGTTAGGGACTGATGTAAATGTACAATATATGTATGTAAAACACTGCCTAAATTGACGGTGCTATATGAATACCTGACATAAATAAATAAATAAGTTCTACCGCATTGTAGAGTGGTAAGACAGTCAGTGACAATGTCCACCTGTGTACCTATCCCATGTCATCATAAATAACTACTGTAGGAAGATGAACTATTGAATCATTTTTCTTTTTGTTTCTGATATCACAGTTGTTTGCAGTTACACTATTATGTATTCTCCTAC